AGTCAAGGGACAAAAAGAACCATTTGGATGGAAAGTAACCGCATTTTTCACACTGACATGACCCATCTGGCAACCCCGGATTGGAAAAAAATCTGGTGAGAGGCAGGAAAATATCTCGAATGACTATTGATAAAGCAAATTTTGATGATCGCTGGTTTGCTTAGCTGAGCAGTTCGATTCATCATCACCAGTTGAGGTAAAATTACCAGTGCGTCGTTAGGGATCGTAGCGACGGGTGCACTGAATACATGTACCGCTAGCCGGGGCTGATCTTCGATCGCGATTGGTTGTTCGGTCGGGCGGTTTCATTGGTTGGTCTGTTATCCTGTGTCCTGATACGCTGGTGACCATGCGACCTTTCGGCTTGGTCTTCCCTGCTCTCGTACTCTGGTCGGTGCTGGACTGACCGCTGTCCTTAATCTCTTTGGGATCCACTTCGTGACCTTTGTTGATCCGACTCCAAGGAGGTTCTTGTTTCTTGGTTTGTTAACCCGATATTCGGCTCTCGTTGAGTATTCCGGTTGCGTTATTGGTCCCTTACACATGGTGCTGCTTACATTAGATTAAGTTCAAAGCGTCAGTTGATTAAATTCATCTTGAGGTATCATCTACGACGCCCAAGTTGCGTTATTGGTCCCTTACACATGGTGCTACTTACATTAGATTTAATTCAATGCGTCAGTTGATTAAATTCATCTTGGGGTACCATCTACGACGCCCAAGCTACCAACATTCTCCTCAGTGGCGAGCAAATCCTCATCCTTCATCGCGGGGCTGATGCACTCCACAATGAAAACTCCAAATTGACCGGGAAATCAATTTTTAGGATGGATCAACGTTATATTCGAGAAACATTTCCTGCCAGGTAGAAAGAAAGCCTATTCTAGCCAGATTTATCGGAAATTTCCCGAATGTGCTGATGATCTGTTACAAGAATAACAGTGATTGGTTGCCTTGACGATATCTGATCTTGTGTGTTTTCCTGGGAGCCAGTTGCTCGCTAAGGAACAATCCGGCTTGTTCGTGGCTCCACTGGACCTAGTCACGATCGATAAGTGTCAATTTTTAGGCCTCATTCCTGTGAACAAGAACTATTCCACTGTTATGCAAAATGATTTGATTCGACACTTGTCAATAACTACTTCTAACCTGACGTTTGCTGACATCTCGAAAGCCTTCGATTTGGTTCCACATTACACAACACCTCTATTTCGATAAATTGCAAACTCCTACGAGGATGTTGTAGCGGTTCCTGCACTTTCGGAGGTTGACTGCAGCTGGGTAGTGAGACATGGGGATCTACTCATCCCAATGTCGTTCATCACAGTGATACATGCGGTTCTTGCATAGTCGGTGCCGCAACTGGGCTATCAGTTCCATGACATCTTCGTGAGTGGTTTTGTCTTCGCTGACAACTGGGTTGTGTGTGTACAGAATGTCAGACTCGCCTCAAAGAGAAGCTTGAAGCTGGTGCAGTCGAGTTGCGAAGAATTGATGTGACGACCAACACCAAGGGACAAAAACAATGGTAATTTGTGGGGACGGATAAGATCAAACGACCGCAGTCGAGGAACTCATCACTTTTCTGGGTGCAACAAACACCGTGACGTATTTTGGCGTTGATATGCCCCCAATTAGGGTCGAGAGGAATTACGTTGATGCCTTTTATCAAGCATGACCTAATCGCTGTTCGGAATGGCAGAATAACCGTTATGGTTTTGGATATGCGCAGAATTCCTGTGTGGGATGGGGAGAAACGGAAGTATGATGATGACGACTGTTCCCGTACTATCATCTTAGCACGAACCGAGGGTTCTGCTTTCCTCAGTCTGCCAAATTTGATGTTGGACTAGGTCTTCCTGAAGTCACCGTCGGTGACTTGGGCTCTCTGCGTGGTTACGACACTTTTATGTGTTGAGTGTTCGTTCTTGCTACTGACATTGACATCTGCCTTGTGCGTGATGTGCGGGTCTTGACTGTGCTGGCGCTTAAACCACTTTGGAGAGCATTTGGCCTTCTCCAACTACCCTTATTTACGTATGAAAAGGAAAGGAAACTCAGATGAAATCGGCTTAATCTCTCGTTTGTATCAGTCTTCTTCAGCTAAATGTGCTGCATAAGGACACCTCATGTTTCACCTTGCAGGATAGTCGAGACCATCCTAAATGACAGACCCAGTTATATTCAGTTGTCAGTGGACCAAATTCGTGGATGAATGAGGGTAGTTGGCGAATTCCTTCCAATGTGAGTACAATATGGATGGAAACTTGGGGACTGCGCCGACCGGATGAACCCAAAATAGTTCGAGACCAGTCATGGTCTGTCAGGTAGTTTTCAGTATTGTTTGTCCTTCCTGCACACGTGTGTTTCCGAACATTTTCACATATGCTGGAGATCATTTCCTCTGACTTAGAAATTACTGGTGGCACGAGTAGAACTTCTCTCTTTTTGTACTGTTCGCCTGTACAGAGCAAAGGTTATTTTTGGTTATTACGCTGTGATAGAGCCCGGAAAACGAAAAATAGACTTTTTCTGAAAAGATAAAACCAGGCGACAGTCAAAATCATATGCGACATGCCTGACTGACAAGTTGTCTTCCTGTGCATACTCCAGTATTTCGAGGAAGTGGGTCTTCCTAAAGAACCACACACTCAGCGCGTGCAGGACTCACTCGAATTCAAAGTACAGCAATCACTGCCACACTTCTCCGGCTGCAAGGGTGCATCAGGAAATGTGTAACCTTTTCGTTGTACCTTAGTGAGTACCTATGAAGGACTTGGACCACCGACACCTTAGTTGAACGCTGGTAAACGGTGTCTACCATCCAGTAATCGAGTGAAAGGTGCTCAATTCCTTAGCTAAATCAAATTGATTTAAAATATCGATTCGCGAACTGCCTGCTGATCGACTAAGATTTACTCGTCTTGTTTTCTACTTGTTTCCTAATGAAAGTTGCGAACGAAAACAGCGCCTAATGAGAGGGTGTTCAAACGCACCGAACATCAATTAGGTCTTAGTATCACTTCAAAAAATGTCTTGGTTACACGGAATGACCGGATACGAGAAACTTAGACAATAAGCAATCATGCACCATCAACAAGGTTTCCACGGTGCCCAATCAAATGTACACGCCTCCTCTAAGAGTTCGTTGTTCGTGGAAGTGGGAGACTATAAACTGAGTCACTTTCAACATCGATATCGACAACACTTTCTTGGTGCTGTGTGAGACCTACGGGTAAACAGTTTGCTGTGAATGGGCAAGTTTGTCGCCCAACGAATCAGAAGTTCCGGTATTTGGTGGGAAACACAGCAGTCAGGAAAACAAACCTCAATTAGAAAGTCGGATATCAGCGCTATTCAAAGTACAGTATACCATTTTCAAAGTCTGTAGAGATTAGGGGGATTAGGGCATAAAAAACACGAACAGAAACACATACATACTTCAGTTTTCAATGGCATGCAGGAACCAATTGGTGTTCTTTACTCCGTGACTTGTAGAAGACCTGACAAAGATTCTTCCTAGTTTCCCAATCAGTCCTACGGATTGCGATACAGGGATAGATGGAAGGACGAAATCGGTTGTGCCACAGCGTTCGGGAGGGACCCATGTGGAAAAATCCAAACTACGCATGAGCACCAATGACGAAAAGTCCCAGGTTTTGTTAGATTTATGGTCGCTTGTTTACTCGATACACACTTGCTAGTGCGAAAACATGGCATCAGAGCGTTTTTTTTAACGAGTAACAGAACAATGGGAAAACTCATGTGGTCCTCACCACTTTGCCAGTTGAAAACATACGGATGTATTTAACTGGTCCAAACTTTTACACAAGACTTAGTTTAGAGCACACAACAAACATAATGGCCCATCGTTAACAACTGACAGACGTTTTTAGAAATGTTCGGCGATTCAACAATGCAACCAGGCCCACCGACTATTTTGCATCTTAACATCAGCGGAAGGGATTAAGTATTGTCTTTGACGCCAGTGTTCCTGGAAGCTTGATTATATCCAAATCCTGTGAATCGTGTTCAGTCGACACCGATTTTTCCACAATTCCCTCAGGCATGTTTCCATTTTGGAAAGCTGTTTAATTCCCTCAATGTGAAACGGATCCCAATAAATTTTTAATTTATTTAATAGGATGCATTCCGGGAGAGCAAAAATACGTGGATCCTAAGCAGGTTAGCGACGAATGATGCGCGGGATAGCGAACACAATACGGCTACCTTCACTCACCCCGAAAAAATTATATAACTCAATCGAGTAACGGCACCGACCATGCCGTCTTCAAGAATAACAGCAATAGCATATCAATAACAAAAACTGTCGCAGTCACAATATCCAATATAGGTACGGGGACAGCCGTGACTAAATAGAAGCAAGCAAATCCTGACCTAACTTAGGCAGTTGCCACGCGAAAATGCGCTGGTCGGTGGCAAATATTCTCGCATACAATGTTGGGGTTTTTCCCAGTGAAATATTTACCGCTGAGGATAAGAGAATCAAGAGTAAAGTCGACAGGCAATGCAGACCGCGCGGCTGTGGAGAACGGCGTAAAACGTGGTGAAACTGACTATCGGCATGCCTGTCGCATGGCCTGGCCACGAAACCCGTATTGACGACTTTGAAATAGACCAGCAACCTGGTTCGGTACAAGTGCGGATGCATGGTGGACATAGTCCGGGTGGCAAACCGACCAATCAAATTTCAGCTAACGTCCGTCGCTTTGACGGCCTTTAGTGTGATAGACACACACAATGACGCGCACCATTACGTAAGAGACTACGCACAATTCACGACTAACACGACAGGGTGGCGCGCATTACCTGGTCGATCCACTCATACTTTAGTTTGATTGGTCGGGCGACTACGATGATTCCATTGGCAGAAGTCAGACTGAATGAGAGCGACTAAGCGATCGTAGTCTGTGGTCAGTGTCCGCTGGCTTGGATTGATATTTTTGGGTGACTGGTAATGTGATTAACCTCCCAGCCATATTTTTTCTTAAAAAAAACTTGTGGAGTATACCTTGTCGGCTGCAGAATGGATCCAACGAAGTAAGAGGAAAATGAGTGAAGCGGGGGAAAATATGGATGCGGCCACAGCTTTGGGCTCTTCCATCCATTTGAACGAAGATGACTGGTTACAACTGTTGCAAAAGTTGACACCATCTAGTATTGACAACCTACAACAAACGTTGAAGCGCATACAGCAACGCGAATCCCCCATTCTGTCACCTGAGAAACTAAATTTTCTGGGAACGGCTTCGCAACTATGCGGATCCTCCTTGCTGTCACCGACTATATCGGAGTCTAGCATTCTCAATAATCAGAATGCCCCTTTGGTGATGTCATTGGGAGTATCCAAGGCTGCCGTACCATCTGTGATCACTGTTCCTTCTGTATTGAATGTGTCCAAAACAATGCCTACCCAACTGCAAAGCACAATTGTCCTTCCGTCAACCGCTCTGTTGATTGCTCCATCAGGACACAGTCAACCTATTTCTTTGGATTCCCGCGTACCCGTCTCTGGAGTGAATCGTCTGTTGTTCACCACAGGTGGCTTGCCTGTGATGTCTACGGCTTCCAGTACATCTATCGCATCCACCAGTGATACGTTCAACAGTCTCAACACATTAGCTAACGCAGCAGTTGCTGTTGCTGCAAATGCGTCCGGTCAAGTAAGTCATGCACTGCCTACTCACTTAATTGCTTCCACAAGTTAATTTCCTTTGTATATTTCTCTAACTCGTCATCAGCTTTAGCGCCAGAGGAGCAACACATTTATTCTTGTTTTGCTAAACACGTGCAACTTTTGAAGGCATCCCGTTAGGTTACGTTCAGTCATTCACAAGGCAGACTGATCACACTGGCTGTATACGAATTCACATACCTATTGTGGGTTGAGTAGGTTTAAAGTTTTTTTGATGCGTATTTGCTATTCATTGTCCAGTATGGTCCTCATCTGTTTTTAGTTTTATCCACATATATAGGTAGCAATATTCGTGAAAGCGCTTACTGTTCAGATACAGTCTTGGTGAACGAATCTCGTCCGTCGCATCGGGTACATTCCACAGACGAGTAGTATTTCAGTACCCGAATTCTGATTGGGTTCGTCACACTTCGCTATCCTGATTGGTTCACACCGACAATAGTATGCATTCCGCACCAGACCGTTTTTTCTAGCTTACGCGTTGCCCTACAACAAGAGTTTTTTCTTGGTCAACTCGAGGCTCTGTCGATCTGAATGGTTTGCGTTCCTCTTTTCGTGATACTTTTTGTCTTGTTTGATGTTTTGAACCGGTGACCTTGCAGGGAGTTTTTGGAGGGCATCGCGTATCACTTTGTTTTTCCCTAACCGTAATTCACATTATGCCTACTCGAAACAGTGCTGTGACGTCCGAGCCGCACTCAGTCCCTAGTTTTCCGCTCAATTTTAGGGGCGAAGCACTACCTCGTTTACTCAGTATAAAACCTAGTAAATGCTCTGTAGAGACCATCTTGCATAACAGACCACTTGCAGTTGGCCCCGGGAGCATGTTTTGAATTCCAGGACCTCATAGACGAGCAATTTTTCGGACTTATTTTGGTGAAGACCGTCTTTAGAAGAAACCAAAACTAGTCCTCTGCTCTGTTTGCCTGATGTGAAACCATGCACTCTATTTTTTGCATGGTACTGACTGCAAATTTAGTAGGTGGTGCTTTGGCGACGCAAACCAAGTGTGGTGCTCCCTCCGTACAAGAAACATGGTTCGAAATGTTCCCTCAATATTTTAACTGTTTGGTAGTTCGGCCTGGAAGCACGCCGGGATGAATTAGGCGATATCACTTGATTTTCCCGTTGGGTTGAGAGTACTTAGGTCTGATGACTCACCAAAGTCCAGGTGGCTGTCTGCCATCTACTGCAAAGTTCTCGCCTAGTTTGTGATCTAGGCTTCGTTTTCGCCTTTTCACCCTTCGACAGCAACTGAGAGACCACCATATATCCTCAAGTTTTCAGCGTAAACCTCTAGTCATCTAATGCATCATTACTTATTTTGGAGAGTAGACTTAGATTCTTTCTTACTTTAACGTGGCTACCGAGAGGAGATGGAAAACCATTAATGAAATCCAGTCACCTGTACCACAGTTGTTCTGTTTCTGTCTGAGTGTCTCTTGCCTGATTACTACATGATTCGGCTGAAACGGGAGATGCACACTGTGAACGATGGCTTTCTGTAACGTTTCTTGATTGGATAGTGTAAGAAAATTCAACTCTTTCTGCTGCTTGTTGCCAGGATAAGGATTTCTTACAAATCGAGTTTGTTGATGTGAGTTACCTAGGCCTTATGCCCTCACTGCATGTAACATACAGGGCTCCATCAGTTCTATTTAGTGCCCTCTTCCGGTCTCATCCAGATTCCCAGCATCTGGTGCTCTTCCCCATTTCCCGTGACAACCGCTTGCGCTAACCGATATATCGTCAATGGATGATGGCTATATTGGGTTATCCTGCTGTGCCTTCAACCGATATGAATGCGGTTCTTTATTCCTATTAGACCCGTTGGACGGGTAAACTTTGGTTGCTTACATCCCAAAAACCTTTGAGTTTATATATTTCACTAACTAGAGTGTACTTCAAGAAATTTCACAGTCAACTTTTGTTTGTGCACTCTAAACTGGTTCCAGTTCTTATTAATTCCCTCAGGACGGACCTTTTAGTCGATTACTTTAGCTGGTCTCACCAACGGGGACAACGGTAGTTCAACCACTTTACTTTAAACATTTGAATGTGCCTATTTCGTTATGGTTTCTGCAACATCCACAAAACAGTTCAAGTACGTATGCGGAGTCATGTGAAGTTATTCCTGTTCAGAAACAGGATTTCAGAGTTCTTTCAGCGGCTAAGATGCGTAGCTACCGACCGGATGGTAAATTCAAACCCGAATGTCTGTCTAGAACTGAGCAGACTGACAATGTATTAACCCCCGTGCTTGCTCCGAGCTGTGCCGCAGCAATACTTTGAACCACTTACTTCTGTCAGCAATATGGTGGCAGTGTTCACACTACCTGCGGCACAGCAGATCTTTTGTGATCGTTGAACTATTCTGCTTCAGTTTTCCACTCTAGTTGTCGACTATGATGCGATCCATCTGAACTGTCATTTGCTCTGTACATTTTGCACCCTGTTGTGGCATTACGGACGCTGGCTTAACAACAGCTGTTTTCAATTACGCGCCTACGTACGCACTCGCGCATACGCACATAATAGCCAGCCTGGCGGATTGGACGACTGCCTGACTGACCAACCTGCGGTCCAGTCACGAAATTTCGTCTCTTAACGTCGCGCCCTTTTTGGCCCAACTGCTGGACATTTCGTAAAGTCGGACAGAATCAGGAGAGTTGTGGCGGGAGAGAGATGCTCATGTTAAGTACTGTGTCGGTCGGTCGGTTGTGATGCAACCCAACAAGGACATATCAGGGAGTTGGACTGGTTGATTCACTTAGTTGCCGTCGAACTGCATGTTGATTGGATGTTGTCTTTATGAAAGGAAGGCAGTGTCCATTGCACGCATCGAAACGCAGGGTGTTAGTCATGTGATATGTAAACTGCATTCATTCGCTGTTGTTCACATGATACGCTGTTCAATTCTCGCTGGATCTTATTTTTTCATCAGTACCTATTGTGGGAGTTGGGACTGTCAGGTTTTTCGAATTTTTGTGACCATTCTTATGGATCATGGTCACATCAGCTCTTCATCACATCTTAGGTTTTCTCCGAACGAAAATAGCACGAATTGATCTTACAGTGATAAGTCTTGTAAGGTTTAGAGAAAAATAAATTTACATTCCATCTACCAGAATGTGCTTTCGTTATGTCTGTAGCATGTATACCCCGGTAGTAGAGTGCCTTTATGCAACGCAAAACAGCTTTGAATGTCGCTCACTACTACATACACTGCCTACACCACTGCTGCTATTACGGTTTGTATTTGCTGCAGTTTGTCTATTCTTTTTTACGGACATCTGGGCGCATTGCAATGTAGGGTCACCTAGCAACCAAATACAATAATCACCCTCTTGTAAAGCCTGACAACAGCGTTCTCCGCTAGTCACCATCATCTGGTTTGTGACCCGTCCGAAATGAGATCACTTGTGGTCGCACTTCAGGGTTCGTCTTGTTACTTTTGTTCTAGCCGGTCTCCTCTCTATTTCAGTGTATAGATCGTTTACTGAGTGAACAAGGCATCCTTTGGTTGGTACAAAGCGAGTACTCTTGGCTTATCGGTTAACGTATGGGCCTTCGTCCAGTTTTCTGAATAAAACACGATGATTTCAATCTCCTACGGTAGAATAGTTCGCTTATGGGAAACCTCTGGAATTTTATTGGAAAACTACTCCAGTTAACACTAATCCGTGGTACCTAAAAGTTCACTTGGAACTCTCAGTTTTTCTCGAGCTTACTCGGTATTTTCATTCATCGAAACTGGAATCCATTTGCGTTCTGAAAGCGATCATTTTCAGAAATTATCTAAATTAATCCTACTTTTCCTTAGGCCGATTTTTTGAGGCGGGTGTGAACGATTTTCCGCGTGCAAGGTCTCTAGCTACTGGCGAAATGCACTACAAACTGCTTTCGTATTAATCGGAGAGTTACTTTATTCTTCAACTTAGTGTGCTGCCCAAAGGCCGCCTTGTGTTCCGATTGGCACGACGTTCGAGATATCAAACTATATTCAGAAGCTGGTGAACATTCTTCGCTAGTGAGCTGTCGAAGAGTTCCCAGACACCTCATGAGTAGTATCACTGCAGGAAAACATTCTATTTCACCACCTGTGTACAGTTTGGTGTTCAAGTACAGCATAAGACTAATGGGAACTTGAGGACTGCGCTCACTTAAAAAAACAAAGAATGACAAATCTGGTAGTGGGCTTTCGAAGAGTTCTCAGCAGAGGTCGACTGATGTTTGTTCCAAATTGACGGTTGGGTTTAGTTTTCGGTGAATGATAGCATAGCGGTGCATATTGGTTCGGCTGTCAATAAGTTATCCTTTGGTGTTCGAAAGATCCCTAGAGCTCTTCGTCACCTAATCGATCAGATTTGGCACTCATTTTTCTGATTTATTTCGTCCTGATCGCAGGTTTTTGCTCGGTGTGACATCTGAGGTAGCTTGTGATAACTTAGTAGGTTTCGAGATAGCTCGGAGAGCCTACTGACCGTAGGGTCCGCAGTTCTAACTTCACCTCTGCCTTTCGACTGCTCCTGTTCAGGCTTCGCTAACCTGGCAGCATCTTAGTCCCCGGGCCCCGTTCGGGTGGAATGGCAGCTAGGCACCCAAAAGGTGGTCCAGCTGAATGATTAGTATATTTTGTGACTTGTTCTGAAAAAGGGAGTCAAGGTTTTCTTCCCCTGTGCAAACAGCTTACGTGCTTGATTTGATGAAACTGTAATTCGGATTCCTAGTAGTCTACCATCAATTATACTCACTTTGGTGCCCAAGTTCAGGTGACTTGGTATGTATGTGGCTGTATGCCATCTTGGAAACATCCGGTGCCTAGCTGCCATGCCACCCGAAGGAAGCACGAGGGCTGAGATACTGCCAGGTTGCCCAAGCCTAGACAGGGAAGTCAAGAGGCAGAGGTTGGGTTCGAATCACGGACCTTCTGGTCAGTAAATTCGCGCTCTAACCACTTAAGCCATA